CTATTCTACCTATTTTGAGAGCAAACAAACACAGGATCAAATAAATCTGCATTTCATCTCTAGATTCGCATATACATGCTACGAAAAGGAAATATCAAGTTACCATATACAGAAATTTCTGCGTCTTCTGTCTGTGGCACACAAAATTCCTTAACAGCATCCAAAAACTTTCTAAAATTATCTGAACTAGAATATGCATACTGCTGTCACCACATAAATTCACAAAAATAAGAGTAAAAAATATCCTCCGTAGTGCCGCACTGTCGCTGCCATTTCTAGAATGAACCTTTTTTGCAACAAACCCATTCAAAGCCATCTGAACGATCTTTATGTTCGGCCATACGAATTTCCTTCGTACAAACAGGGCACTTATAACTAAGTAAATCTTCGTTTACATATCAGTCAAGTAATGCTTTTTTTCCCTTTCATTCCAATTTGTACAAAAACTTTATATTAATCTCATCACATACAGCCATTTTATGGTGTACAGCACAAAATAAGCTAGGCACTTTCTAAATAACATCCAACAGCGAAATAGTACCTTACAAATATTTTACCATCAATCAATTTCACCGCAATCACATCATAATAGGGTTTTCATAAATTCAACTATTCAGGTTACCATAAATGAAACAAGGGCTGATCTTAAGAACATGGTAACTGGTAGTTTGGCGACATTTTGGAGGCGGTAAAGGTTACTACCTGGGACTTTGGTAATAATGTGAGCAGTACTCAGTTCCGATTACGCATTACTTTTGTGTGAGGGAAATGAGAGATCATGGGATATGTCATGTGATATTAATGGACGAATTACGGTTCTTTAATCGGAAAGGGGGAAATCGGGAAAAAATCTGGAAATTTTGTATTTGGCTTTATTCTGTGTTGTGTGAAACAGTGTTCGTTAATTTTTGGATCCCATGGCCCTAACTAAAGTGAATTCGAAATGGGTATTTAGTGGGATTGAAAGGGGTAGTAATAAGTGTTTCTCTAAGGTTGTGCGAGATAGAAGTAAAGATGTTTTTATTAAGTTATTTATTTTACCTGGTACCTTGCTGTGAACTATAAGTATGATTTTAAAGATCCTGAAACAGAAATAAGAAAAGTTTATCGGACACGTAATCAAGATTCTGAAGAAGATTAGGTAAGTTAGTATTTTTAATTATTTGAGGATATTATTTTTATGCATTCTTCTAAATGTAAGGTGGAAAGGAATTTGGTATTATTGGGAAAATTGTTATTAGCAGTGATTTAGTTTAAAGTAATTAGGATTGTAAGGTAATTTTTATTAATTTAATGTATGTGCTCATTTATATTTTAAGTAGTGTTTTTGAATTTAATTATATTTAATGAAATGATAGTTATTTTGTGAATTTTATGTTTGTAGGAATTTGGTATACGTTTAAGTTGAAAAAAACGTGCAGGGAAATAATTTAAATATTTGATACTAAGTATTCGTAATGCTTGCGGTATGAATTCGTTGGTGAAGTGTATAATGTAATAGATGATTTAGAGGTAAAAGTTTTTGGATATTTTATTTATTTTATATGTGGAAATGTTCATATTTGTAAAGGGTATATACTTTTTTGCGATCAGGTAATTTCATATATGTTCTTTTTAACGGGTTTAAAGATTCAGAAAATTGTCATGCATTTTCGTGAAATTTTTCTAATTTATGAGAAAAAAGGAGTGTACATGGATATGGTGAAGAGTGTGCGCAATGCCATTTTTGTGCAATTCTGCGATATTTTTTTTAAGTAAAAATAAGTCAACGTGTACATGGTTTAGTGATATTTTAATTAAATGATAGTTATTTTGTGAATTTTATGTTTGTAGTAATTTGGTATACGTTTTAGTTGAAGTAAACGTGCATGGAAATAATTTAAATATTTGACACTAAGTATTTGTTATGCTTGCGGTATGAATTCGTTGGTGACGTTTATAATAGATGATTTAGAGGTAAAAGTTTTTGGATATTTTATTTATTTCATATGTGGAAATGTTTATATTTGGAAAGGGTATACACTTTTTTGCGATCAGGTAATTTCATATATGTTCTTTTTACCGGGTTTAAAGATTCGGAAAATTGTCATGTATTTTCGTGAAATTTTTCTAATTTATGAGAAAAAAGCAGTGTACATGGATATAGTGAAGAGTGTGCGCAATGCCATTTTTGTGCAATTCTGGGATGTTTTTTTAAGTAAAAATAAATCGACGTGTACATGGTTTATGTGTATGTTATTTTGAAAAACGCGTAAGGAGTATGGTATTGTGCACTTTTTCCCAATTTTGCAGTGAGTATTTGTCATGATTAAGCAGTTTTGTTAGATAAAATTTCTAGCATAAGTGTAATTCGGCTAGTAGATTGTTGGAAGAAGTGTTCAGTAGATAAAAAGAAAAGAAACATGTCTTTACTTCGTGAAGACAAAATGGTGGTGGGAAAAAAAAATAGAGGGTTGCTGTAAGAGAGTTGGTCGCCAAATTTTCGCCAAAAAATCGCCAAATTACCATAATCTAAAGATCGACCGAAACAAGAATTTGGCGATAAATGGAACAACTCAGCGATAATCCAAGGGGCACTCTAAAATATAGACTAACCAAGAAGAATGTTCAAAATATATGAAGAACCAAAAATTCTTTTTCATACAAAAAAAAAAAAAAAAATTAAGCAGGTACGGTATTTTTCATGATACAGAGTTCTGGTGGAATAAGAAAGAGGAGTACAGTAAGATACCGTTTGACGTTGTAGGGAGTGTAGTTTATGTGGGGGGGAGAGAAAGTTGTAGCTCATGGTAAAAAAACTTTTGAAGCTATTTTAGTAATAACTATGGCGATAAATGAAACAACTTGGCGATAATCCAAGGAGCACCCTAAAATACAGCCTAACCGAGAATAATGTTCGAAATGTATGAACAAGAACCAAAAAACTGTTCTTGTTCATACACAAAAAAAATCGAGCAGGTATGCTGTTTTTCATGATACAGAGTTCTGGTGGAATAAGAAAGAGGAGTACAGTAAGACACCGTTTGACTTTGTAGGGAGTGTAGTTCATGTGGGGGGAGAGAAATTTGTAGCTCATGGTAAAAAAACTTTTGAAGCTATTTTAGTAATAACTGTCAACACTTTTCACTCAAAATAAAGGAAAGCAAATTGCATGAAATTATCACAAAAGTGATTTTATATCATTAAATGATATCAAATTAAATGATAAATGACTTTTTATATCATTAAATGATATAAAAAGAATTATATGATTCAGGATAAAAGAAGACCTGGCTGACCATCAAAGCTATCCAATGGAATAAAGCGAATTATCGTTCGAAATATTAAAAAAAATCCAAGAATGAGTGCTCCTAAAGTTGCTGCTGATTTACAAGCATTATATGGAGTGATTGTTAATCCTGAGACTATTAGAAGAGAAATTCGACCTGCTGGATATCACGGTAGAGCAGCCAGGAAAAAATTCTTCATAAGTGAAAAGAATAGAAAACTCAGACTGGCTTTCGCAAAATCCAACATAAATAAGAATTCTGATTACTGGAATGAAGTTATATTTGCTGATGAGAGTAATATATTTGGTTCTGACGGTAGAATCTTGATGTGGAGAAAACCCAGGGAAGAATTTCGCAAACAGAACTTGGTGCCAACAGTAAAACATGGTGGAGGAGAAGTTATTGTATGGGGGTATATGTCGTCCGCTGGAGTTGGTACTCTTGTTTTTATTGACAGTATGATGAATCAGTACAAGTATATTGACATTTTAAATCAAAATTTGAAATCTTCAGCGCGAAAATTGAACCTTCATAACGATTTTAAACTCTACCAGGTCAATGACCCCACGCACACTGTTTTGAACGTTAGACTCTGGCTGCTGTATAACTGTTCTGAAGTAATAAAAACACCGCCACAATCTCCAGACTTAAATCCCATAGAGAATATTTGACAAAAATTAGAATCAAGAATTTGCAAACACACCATTTCTTCAAAACAACATTTAAAATTGGTGCTTCAAGAAGAATGGGGTAAAATTACTCCAGAAATCACAAAAATTTAATCCAATTCCTCCCAGGAAGATTAAATCATGTTTTAAAAGTAAAAGGAAATCCAACAAAATATTAAAACCTTTTAAAAAGTAAAATTTTTGGATAAATATTTGATGGAAAACTAAGTGTCCCATCACTTATGTGAGCCATTTTTTGCTCCGTTTTAAATAATTGTATTTTTATTAAATTAATATTTTAATATTTTGAGAAAATGTTTGTTATGTAATAATTGTTACTAAATTTAAGTATGAAACACACTCACAAAAATTTTTTACATGTTTTCTTTTAATTTACTTTACTACAGTTTCCTTTTGTAAAGCACACAGGTCCCATCACTTTTGTGAGACACTGTATATACCTATAGAAATCGCATGAAGCAAGTAAGCTAAGATATATAGTACACATTCTTGAAACAGGGATATATTCGGCGGCTCTAGTGTAGAATTGGGTGCCCCTTCGATTAGCGACAATTTTTTTTAATTTTGGCGATGAAACCTCACTTCTCGTTACCATGATAGTTTTAACTCTGTTTTGGCTTCCTGATTTTATTTAAATAAAATAAGATTGATGTGTACATGGACAAATTTAAGGCAGTGCGCAATGCCTACTTTGTGCAATTCTAGGATGTTTTTTTTAAGTGAAAACAGATCAATGTGTACACGGACACAGAGTCTGTGCAATTCTTTGACGTCTTATTTTGGTTTTGTGTAGCGACCATCAAGAAATGGTGCCATCAAGAATGGTGAATGGTTCCTGGTGCCGATCTTGGCATCAAAAAAAGAATCGCCAAAAAACAAGGGGCACCCAATTATAAACTTTTACCATACATTCTTCTTTAAGTATATTAGAAAAATAAATATTTTTTAACAAATTACGACATTACATATTACACTTTTTTAAATGCCAAATTTATGATCGTATATTTACGTTAGGACACCTAAATAATATTTGCACAGTTACCTTTATTACTTTGAGATGAATACCTCCGACAAGAAAGATTTTCTAGAAATAAGTTCGGAAATTTCGGCGCTGTCATAAATAATTTATATTCACAACAAGGAATGTTTAGAACATTATACACACTACATGAACTGGATAATGTTCCGGAGTACAGAGTATAGCTAGACAATCGAGTTATTCGAGAAATTAAAGCCATTTCAAACCTTTACGAAAGTAAAATTTTTTATACAGCTTAATGATAATATTTTAAACGATTTTCTTATCAAAAATTGGTACATATCCAAAGTCTTCCATACTTATGAGATGTTCAAATCAGTCGCTAGTTGCTGAGTCGTTTTATATCATCTTCAGATTAAAAATTAAGTATTGCGGAATAACAGACTTAACAATGACTATTTATTTCACTAAAAAAAATAAAAATAATTTCATAAATAATCATTAATATATGCATAAAAAATGTTTGTTTTGTTCTTTTTTTTTTCGATCTGGATTTTGTTTTCGGCTGCAAAACCGATGAAAATCAAAATTCTTAGTAACTGCATTACAGAAGCGGCTAAGGTTGTGTGCTGAGCATTTATTTTTAGATTTATTTCGTCCCAATTTTTCTTCCAATCCTTTTGAACTCGTACAAAACAATACGAGGTTCTTTTTACTCTCCTCTGGAAACCGAAATTGCCCCCTTTCTATATACCTTTCCTTCGCACCTAAGATTGATTTTTCGACCATCGGAGCAGAAAGACTTAGCGGTGCAAAACAAGACATATATTTTGTCTGTCTGTCTGTTTCAACGTGAAGAAACGCGTCCTTAGCGAATTTCAATAAAGTAACTGGTCTGAAGATAATTTAAAGTTATTGAAATATTTAATTACGAAGCTATTCATATTAGGTAAGCGACAAATAAAATCTGGATTCTAAACATGACATTAATATTTGTCTTTTGTTGGATTGTTCATCCTATGTGTTAGTGGGAAAGGTATTATTATTTTAATTTTAATCTGTTACTTTAGATTTATTGAATGAAATTATAATCTGAGTTTAAACTTGTGTGTGTCCTTTCTTCAATTAACATAATTTATAAGATAGAAATTATAAATGAAGAAAGTATGAGTCTCTTATTTTCCTTTTTGGTGACTGCTTGGTTTTTAAGGGCATATTTGTGAATGAAGTAAACATGATTAAGTGTTATTTTAGATCTATTAAATATAATACTTCTATTCAACTGGCTTTACTCACTCGAAAATGTTATAATTATTGTTTCCGGATTTGCATATGATTGGTATGCATATTTTTTTCCTCAAAGCAAGTTATATATATATAATGTATGATCTACAGATATGTAAAATTAAGAGTAAATAAAGGATATTAAGAGTAAATAAGGGGTATTAAGGGCAAGAATTGTATCAGCTAAAATTTCGTCGATTCAGAAATCGGACATTTTGATTTCATGTAAATTAGCTCATGAGCATGTCCAAGATAACGTCTTGTTCAGTGTTTTGATTTTAAATTTCTCAAAAATAACCAGGTCCTCGGGCATAAAATTGGGTAGCCCTATTGTAGTCATTACGAAGGTCATATACTTTTAAAGGAAAGGTCACAAAGAAAATTCTTTTTGTCATTTGACTTCAGCTTCTTGAGGTGTTGCTCATTCAATCATTAACACTTCATTTATAGCTAATGCGTATAAAATGATGTTTAACTCTTTTGATTATGAAGAGATGAAATGAATATGTATGAACTTTACTCATAGAAGTTTCAAGTATTTAAGGCTTTTAGTTAATGAGTGTAACAGTGAGATTTTTGACAGACTGTATTGAAATAATTGTGGTTCAGAATTTCATGGTGATTATTCAGTTGAATTGCAGTAATTGCCTTACTAAAATTTATCGCTACGCAAAAGGTCACTGTGTCAGACTGTCAGACATTTAGCAGAGAAAAAAAGTCATTTGAGATTTCCATGGATTAATAGTTTTTTTCTTATGTTTTCTGCGATAACAAGATTTCCTACGACAAATACTAGTGTTGTTTTACATAATGTGTCTCTCATATCATATATTTGAATATGTGGTAAAAGTTTACAATTGGGTGCCCTTTGTTTTTTTGGCGATTCTTTTTTTGATGCCAAGAAGATACAATTTCAAGATGGCCGCTACACAAACCAAAATAAAAAGTCAAAGAATTGCATAAACTCTGTGTCCATATATGCATCGATCTGTTTTCACTTTAAAAAAAATCCCAGAATTGCACAAACTAGGCATTGCGCACTGCTTTAAATTTGTCCATGTACACAACAATCTATTTTTATTTTTAAAAAAATCAGGAGGCTAAAGCAAAGTTACACTATCATGGTAACCAGAAATTAGATTACATCCCCAAAATTTTACAAAAAATTGTCGCTAATCGAAGGGGCACCCAATTCTACACTAGAGCGTAATATGTTTTAAATGGTTGTAAAAAATATTTCTCTGACATTCCACATATGCATATGATGCAATTTCAGCAAAGATTTTCGAGAGGGAGGTGATATTAATCTATTAAACTTTCTTTAAAATTTGTTTGTACAGTTTGCAACATCGCAAATAGATCTGAATTGAAAATTTGAAAATATTGCATCTAATCTTTTCCAATTTAAATTAGTTTCTATAGATATTTTTCTATGATAAGATCTGATGTAACAAATAAATAGGGAAAAAATGAATTCCTTTCATCTTCACATGATGTTACTTGATCTAGGGACACAAAAAATTTAGTTTCACTGTGTGAATATGAATTTTGTTATGAGTGCCTGCAGTTGGAATCCTCTTGTGGCTGACCTGCAAGCAATTTTTCACGAAAGTGTAATTACGAAATTACAGCATAAAGTGACTAGACTGTATTTGACGGTGCCCGTTGGATTATCGAAAAGTTGTTGTTTCATTTATGGGTAACCTGAGTAGTTGAATGTTATGAAAACCCTATACAGTCAAAAGTCGTTAATTGGGACTTCAGCGATTCCGGATTATAGATCATCAGTTTAAATCTGGTAAGATGACATGCAGAAATTACAAAATTAAAAATATGAAACCGTAATTTATGAAATAAAGAACAATTAGGATCTAAAGGGTATCAAAATTTACAAAAAGAAAAAAGCTTAATATTTATTTGTTTACTTTATTAAACATTTCTTTCAATGTAAGTTGTGTCATTTTTTATGTGATAATACATTCTCTTTAACTCTATAAACAGACATAATTGTTTGTTCAGTTACAAAGTTCCGCTGTTAAAGTCAATTGCTGTGTCGAGAATACCGACTAATTTGTCAATTGAAATTTGGTTAATCTTTCGATTATGGTAACTTGGCGAAAATTTGGCAACCAAACCTGCTACAGCAACCTGCTAGTTTTTGTTTGGATGCCATTTTGTTTTCACAAAGTAAATGCATTTTTTTTTTTTTTTAACTCAAAATTTTTTTCCAACAATCTGCTAGCCGAATTACACTTATGCTAGAACTTTTTATGGAACAGAAGTGCTTAATCATGACAAAGATTATGTGCGAAATTGGGAGAAAGTGCAGAATCGCAAACTGTTTGCTGCATTTTTAAGAATTGCACATACATCGTATCCATGTACACGTCGACCTATTTTCACTTATACGCATGCGCAGAAAGTTTGTAGCTTTGAGATCCGATTAATGGGTGTCCAAATTAACAACTTTTGACTGTATGTGACATAATTGGTTGCTTGAATTTGACTGGTGGGAAAAGATTTGTAAGGGCTTGTTTGTGTTTTGGATGTTGGTTAGGAAGTTGCTTATTTTGTGGTTTACACTATAAAACAGCTGAATGCGGTAAGATTAATTTGAAATTTCTGTAGGATTTGGAAGGAAGGTGGGGAAGTATTAATTGACTGGTGTGTAAATCAAGTTTTACTTAGTAGCAATTATAAGTGTCCTGTTTGTACAAAGAAAATGAAAGTTGAACGTAAAGATGATTCAGAATGGGTTTGTTGCAAGAAAGGTTCAAATGGTCACCACATAAAGTGTTCCGGTTAATCTTCGGATTATGGTAACTTGGCAAAAATTTGGGGACCAACCCTGCTACATCAACCTGCTAGTTTTTTTTTCAATGCCATTTTGTTTTCACGAAGTAAAGGCATTTTTTTCTGACAATCTGCTAGCCGAATTACGCTTATGCTAGAACTTTTATGGAACAAAAGTGCTTAATCATGACGAAGATTAGGTGCGAAATTGGGAGAAAGTGCAGAGTCGTCCACTACTTGCCGCGTTTTTAAGAATTGCACATACACGGTATCCATGCACACATCGACCTATTTTCACTTTAAACGACCAAAATTGCACGAAAATGGCATTGCGCACACTCTTGACTTTATCCATGTACACTGGTAAAGTCCTAGGTAGTAACCTTTATTGCCTTACCAAAATGTCGCCAAACTACCTGTTACCATATTCCAAAGATTAGCCAGTGTTCCATTAGAAAGGGAACATGATTTGAGGAAAGTTATTGAATGCTGTTTAGGAATTTTGTGTGCCACGGACTGAAGACAGGAATTTCTAAATAAGGCAGGTGGCTATTTCCTTTGTGTAGTGCATAGTGCATGTCATTTCATTGTTTGATTTAAAATGCAGTTTATTGAGATTATATATTTTTTGTGCTCAATGCCGAGTTTGTGCAATTCTGTGATTTTTTTTTTTTTTTGAGTGAAAATAGGTCGATGTGTACATGGATACCGAGTTTGTGCATTTCTTTGACTTGTTATTTTGGCTTTGTTTAGCAGCGATTTTTGGCACGTATTTTAGCTTTGTTAAGCGACGATTTTTGGCACGAAAATCGCCACTAAACAAAGCTAAAATACCAAATCAAAGAATTGCATAAACTCTGTGTCCATGTACCACCAAAAATCACCAAGTTCGCCTAGGGGGCCCTAAACATTTTTTTCTGCCTAGTTTTACCCATAAAGTTTATCAAAAGATCTAAAACTTGGTGCAGATCTCGTGCAGTATTGTTCCATACTTCAATACAAACTGCATTCAACTCCACTTCAAACTCATTCAGCTGAAGTCTATTTCTTGTAAATTTTTTTGGTAAAAATGTATTTATGGGTGCCCCTTGCAAATTTTTGGTGGTACGTGGATATCGAGTTTGTGCAATTCTTTGACTTGTTATTTTGGTTTTACTGAAAATTCCCGCTACACAAAGCCAAAATAACAGTTCGAAGAATTGCACAAACTCATCCATGTGCACATCGACCTATTTTCACTTAAAAAAACATCAGAGAATTGCACAAACTTGGGATTGTGTACTCCCTTGGCTTTGTACATCAATCTATTTTCACTTAAAAAGTCAAAGGAACAGTTAACAAAAAATATATAATCTCAATAAACTGCATTTTAAATCGAACAATGAAATAACATAAAAAAAGAAATTCATCTTAGCACTACACAAAGGAAATATCCGCTTACCTTATTTAGAAATTTCCGTGTCTTCAAAAAAAATTACTCAACAGTATCCAAAAACTTCCTAAAATTATATGTATATTGGTGTCGCCACAATGAATTCACAAAGCGTCAAAAATATCCTCCGACATTCGGCCATACGCATTTCCTTCCAACAAACAGGAAACTTGTAATGGCTACTAAGTAAGCCTTCATTTACATGCCTGTCAGTTAACCCTCTGACTGCTCAATATGTGGACCGAAATCGCTTAAAAAATTATGTATTTTTTATTTTGCATATTTTAAATTTATATATATTGGAGAATTGAAAAATGCACCTTTTCTTTTTAGGAAATATTTTTTATATAGATTTTTATCATGAGAAACTAAGTTGCCAGAAAAACCAATTTCAGATGCTATCACCACAAGAAATTTTTTAAAAATAAATTTCAGTTGAA